TCACGCCCCAAGTGGGAGGGAAGTGGACGGGGCCCTGAGCCGACCTAGCCCCAGACGGAACGGGGCGCCCAACACGTGCCCGGATTACTGTGCCTTCCCCGGGTGCAGCCTTTCGGTTCGTGAAGGGTCGGTGCGAGTCGTGCTTTCCTCGATCCCCCGCCCTCCCCCGCCATCTCCGCCGCTTTGGCTCTACAGCCACCACCGGGAGGCGGCGAGGCGAAATCAGACTCGGTCGAGAGACCCCAGATTGGCATCCATGCCTCTCTGGACAGGGTGGCCCGCCACAACGACCCCTGGAATTGCGACTCGCCGCTTTCCTCCCGCTGTGATTCTGTGTGAGCTCTGAGTCTTGTCTGCCAACAATACACCTAAAACAACAAAAACCTATTCACACCTGCGCCGGGAAGAGTCGGGTAAACCTCCCAAAGCAAAGGAATCGCTCGCCCCTGTTCGTTGCAGGCTGCCTAGGCCACGGAGAGGACGTGTCGAACCAGCTGCTGCCCAAGAAGATCGAGGTGTGGGCGAGCCGGCCGCCCACGCCTACTTCCTCTGACGGAGAGGACAGCAGCGGCGGAGAGGACATGTAGCGACGCGGACAAATTTCTTTGAAAGCGGCGGCCAGGCCACGGAGGGGACCTGTCCGACCAGCTGCTGCCCAAGAAGGTCGAGGTGTGGGCCTGACCCACCGTCCTCTCGTCGTGGTTGGTTGTGGGGCGCGCGCCGCGCGGCAGTTCCCCTAGTTGCTAGGATCCCGTGCGCGAGAGGTTTGGAGCGCGTCTGGAGTGCGTTCGCCCTCCTGGCTGGCACCTGGGACCCAGTGTGCCGTCCGACTGTCGTCGCTGTCTGTTCTCGACTGTCGTGTGCGCGTTCATGGGCCCGGGATTTTGTGTGTGAGAGAGGGGAAGGGAGCGTAGGGAGAGATCGAGGACAACAAAAACCCATTCACACCTGCGCGGGAAGAGTCCGGTAAAGCTCCCAAAGCAGAGCGAAGGAATCGCTTCGTCCGCCCACATGCCGCTGCTGTCGGCTACCGTCGCTCTTCTGTCTTTCGCCGGCCCGTCCGCCTCGCTGCGGCTCAGCCCCGCCGCGTCGCGCATGTCCGCCGTCGACGCGCCACCGCAGCAGGCCGCGTCGCCGGCGCCCGACGCCATCAGTAGCAGTGCTCCGCTGCACGTGCTGATTGCTGGCGGCGGCGTGGGCGGGCTGGCGCTCGCCAACTGCCTGGAGCTGTCGGACGCGCCGGTCACCTACACCGTCCTCGAGCGCACCTCCGAGTTCAAAAAGTTTGGCGGCCCGATCCAGCTCGCGTCAAACGCGATGCAGGCGCCAGCGCTGCTGCCTCCTCCTCGCCGCTGCCTCTCTCTCCTCCGCCGCCGCTCTCACTGCCCAGCTTTCCTCGCCGCCGCCGCGCTCGCGAATGCACGCACCGCTCACACGAGCCTAGACGGTTGCGTCTCGCCGCCGCCGTCGCCGCCGCCGCCCGCCGGCCCCGCCCTCAACCCCGCCGCCCTCACCTGTGCACCTCGCTCGCCCGCAGGGCTTCCGCTCGATCGACGAGGAGCTGTACAAGCAGATCGAGGCGCGCGCGACGTGGACCGGCAACCGGACCAACGGCATCAAGGCGCCAGCCTCGCACCTGCTGCCACCGCACCTGCTGCCACCGCACCTGCTGCTGCCACCTGCTGCCACCGCACCTGCTGCTGCCACCTGCTGCCACCGCACCTGCTGCTGCCACCTGCTGCCACCGCACCTGCTGCCACCTGCTGAGCCACACACACCGGCATGACACGAGCACGGCACCTTTACGACGCGATGGCACACCCTCCCACTATCGTTATCGTCGCTGCTAGGACGGCGTCCGCGACGAGTGGTACGCAAAGTTCGACCTCCGCTCGCCAGCCGAGTCGCGAGAGATGCCCTTCACTTGCGTGGTCGAGCGGCCGGAGCTGCAGGAGATCCTGATGCGGCGCACGCACGACAACCTGCGGCTCGGCGCCGGCGTCGAGTCCTACGGGAAGCGCAGCGACGGCGGCGTCGTCGCCACGCTGCAGACGGGCGAGCAGGTGCACGGCGACGTCCTCATCGGGGCCGACGGCATCTGGTCCAACGTGCGCGCGGCGATGACGGAGACGCCCGCGCGCGGCGAGGGGTCCGGCGTCACCTACTCTGGCTACACCGTCTTTGCGGGCGAGATCACCCGAGATCACCCGAGATCACCCGAGATCACCCGAGATCACCCGAGATCACCCGAGATCACCCGAGATCACCCGAGATCACCGACTCTGGCTACACCGTCTTTGCGGGCGAGATTATTCGCGAGTGGCGGCAGGGCGGGCGGCTGGAGTGTCGCTCCGTCACGTGCCTGCGGACGTCGGGTAGGCGAGCTGGAGTACGGGGGAGGCGACCCCGAGTGTGGCTACAAGGTGTACATCGGGCCGCAGCAGTACTTTGTCATCACCGACATCGGGCGAGATGCAGCCGAGACGCAGCCGAGATGCAGCCGAGATGCAGCCGAGATGCAGCCGAGATGCAGCCGAGATGCAGCCGAGATGCAGCCGAGATGTAGCCGAGATGCAGCCGAGATGCAGCCGAGATGCAGCCGAGATGCAGCCGAGATGCAGCCGAGACGCAGCCGAGATGCAGCCGAGATGCAGCCGAGATGCAGCCGAGATGCAGCCGAGATGCAGCCGAGATGCAGCCGAGATGCAGCCGAGATGCAGCCGAGATGCAGCCGAGATGCAGCCGAGATGCAGCCGAGATGCAGCCGAGATGCAGACGAGATGCAGCCGAGATGCAGCCGAGATGCAGCCGAGATGCAGACGAGATGCAGACGAGATGCAGACGAGATGCAGACGAGATGGCAGTGCTCTCTCATCACCGACATTTGGGCGGTGCTGCGCCGCTGCCGGACCTTTCTCGGAGCCTCCTCCTCTGAGCCTTCTCTGAACCGCCCTCCAGGCGCGGCCGCTACCAGTGGTACGCCTTCCTCGCGCGGCCGGCCGACTCCGAGGCGAGGGCGATCTCTCACCTCTCAATCTCGGGTCGACCTCCGGCCAGATCTCGGCTCTCTCTCTCGCCCTGGACACGAGAGGGGTAGGCCAGCTCTCTGCCAGACCTCTGCTAGACCTCCGCCCGACCTGCCGCCGGACCCGTGTGTCAAGGCGAGCGAGGAGAAGCCGGACGGCTCCTCGCCGTACCTGCAGAAGCTGTTTGAGGGGTGGTCGCCGGAGATCCACGACATCCTGCGAGTGACGCAGGAGCACGAGATCGAGCAGCGCGACTTGTACGACCGCCCTCCCTCGGTGCTCTTCAAGCCGCGTGTGCCACTCCCCATGACCTTTCCACGACCGCTGCGCACGACCTTCGACGGCCTCCCCTGCAGGTGCTCAAGCCGTGGAACAAGGGCCGCGTCGCGCTGCTCGGGGACGCCATCCACGCGATGATGCCCAACCTCGGCCAGGGCGGCTGCCAGGCGCTCGAGGATGCGCTCGTCATCTCGGAGCAGCTCACGTCCCTCTCGAGCCGCGGCGAGATCGAGGGGGCGCTGCAGGGGTACCGCAACCGGCGCCTGACTCCTTTGGGGGCGGTGCAGGTGGGCAAACCACACCCCCCGCTTGGGATGCCCCCCCCCCCCCCCCCCCTTGCCCACCCCGCCCTCGCCATCCCCATTCGCGCCGCCTCCGCCTCCGCCGCCTCCACTGTCGCCTCCGCCTCCGCCGCCGTCGCCCCCGCCTCCGCCTCCGCCGCCGCCTCCCCACCGCCGCCTCCCCACCCCGCCCCCCTCCCCCGCGGCGGCTCAGGGCCTCTCGCGCTTCGCCTCGGACATCATCATCCGCGGCTTCGACACGCCGGCCAAGCTTGGCTTCTCGGGAGGCAAGCTGGTCGCCGAGAACCTCAACTACGCCGGCGTGGTGACGCGGCTGCTGCAGCCGATCCTGCCCGTCTTCTTCGCGGTGCAGTTCGCCTTTCTGTACGACGGCTGGGAGAACAAGTTCTCGCTCAAGCAGCTGCAGATCGGACTCTCCATCTTTGCATTCGGCTCGCTCTTCCTCATCGCCTTCGCCGCCACCGCGGGCAGCGAGGTCGCCTTCGCCGGCGCCTTTGCCGAGTCCATCCTTGGTGCGCGCGACCCACCACCCTCCCACCTTTCCCACCCTCACGCCCCTCTCCCACCCCGCCGGCACCGGCACCGGTGCGCCCCGCCTGCCGCCTCCCTCGCGACCCCCGCCCCTCGCCGCCGCCGCCGCAGGCGCCGAGGCGCTCGAGGGCCTCTCTGTCTGGGCGACGGAGCAGAGCGCCGCCATCCAGGAGGTCCTCAACTCGCTCGGCGGCGGTCCGCCCGGCCTGTGAGCGGAGGAGGACTGCCGCGGAGGGGAGGGCCGGGACGGGGAGGCGCTGCAGAGGGCCATGAGCTGTGAGCCCGGGCTGCCAGTCTGTTTCGGGTCGAGTGTTTGCGAGAGCGAGAGAAAGCCGAGAGGCAGGCATGTATCGTGGGCTGGTGCGCGGTGGGTGATGCGAGAGGCATGGTGTGATGACACTTCAGTGACACGTCAGGGTCGGTGGGGGACGGAGTCTCCGCCGCAGAGGTGTGTGCGCGTCATCGTCTTTGCGCTGTCACCACCACACACACACAGCCGGCCCCCCCCGGCCCAGTTACGTTGTCGGGTGTGGGGGCGCGGTGTGGCCTGTTTGGCATTTCCTCTCTTAGATAGAGAGTACGTAGACGGCCGTAGCATCGGGTCCAGCGAACATCGTCCGGTTCTCCTTTTTGCTTTTACACTGCGGGCGCGACCGTTCCGATTTCCGCGATTTGGGAGCTTTATGCACGACTCTTCCGGCGCAGGTGTGAATAGGTTTCTTCGATCTCTCCCTACCCTCTTTCCCTCTCTCTCACACAATACCCCGGACCCAGCGCACACGACCGTCGAGAACAGACAGCGACGACAGTCGGACGGCACACACTTGGACTCAGCCAGGAGGGCGAACGGAGCTCGGAGGTCGGAGGGTCGGAGCGAACGCACTCCAGACGCGCTCCAAACCTCTCGCGCACGGGATCCTAGGACAACTACTGCCGCGCGCCGCGCGCCCCACAACCACGACGAGAGGGCGGTGGGTCAGGCCCACGTCTCGACCTTCTTGGGCAGCAGCTGGTCGGACAGGTCCTCTCCGTGGCCTAGACAGCCGTCGCCGCCCTCGCCCCAGGTAAAGACGGCGCCGTCGGCGGTGCGGGCGATGCTGTGGCTGCGTCCAGCCGACACAGCGACGACACGCTGGCCCGCAAAGGCCTCGATCTTCTTGGGCAGCAGCTGGTTCTGCTCGTCGCCGTGGCCTAAGCCAGCTTCCTCTCCGTAGCCCCAGGTCCAGAGGGCGCCATCGGCGGTGATGGCGAGGCTGTGTTTCGCTCCAAACGCCACAGCGACGACGCGCCGCCCAACAAACGCATCGATCTTCTTCGGCAGCAGCTGGTGCTGCCAGTCGCCGTGGCCCAACATGCCGTAGCTTCTGCCGCCCCAGCTCCAGACAGCGCCTTCGGCGGTGATCGCGAGGCTGTGCTCGCGTCCAGCCGACACGGCGATGACGCGCTGCTCAGCAAAGGCCTCGATCTTCTTCGGCAGCAGCTGATTCTGCGTGTCGCCGTGGCCCAACTGGCCGTGGTATCCGTGGCCCCAGCTCCAGACAGCGCCGTCGGCGGTGATGGCGAGGCTGTGCTGGTCTCCAGCCGCCACAGCGAAAACGCGCTGGCCAGCAAAGGCCTCGATCTTCTTGGGCAGCAGCTGGTCCTCATCGTCGCCATGGCCAAGCTTGCCAGAGACTCCATTGCCCCAGCTCCAGACAGCGCCGTCGGCGGTGAGGCCGAGGTTGTGGATAAGTCCAGCCAACACAGAGACGAGGCGCTGCCCAGCAAAGGCCTCGATCTTCTTCGGCTGCCACTGCTCCTGCTCGTCGCCGTGGCCCAGCCGGCCATAGTCGCCAACGCCCCAGCTCCAGACGGCGCCGCTGGCGGTGAGGGCGAAGCTGAGGTGTAGTCCAGCCGCCACGCTCACGGCACGCTCGCCGCCCAGCGTTGACGGGTTGCGGGTCGGCGTGTTGAGCCGCCTCACGCCCTCGCCGTGGCCGAGAAGGCCTGGAAAATACCCCCCCTCCTCCTCCTCCTCGTCCTCGTCCTCCTCATACTCGTCCTCCTCCTCCGTTGCCGCTGACCCGCACGACGAGAGCCGCCCCTCGCCGTCGATGAAGACGCTGTGCTGAAAGCCTGCCGCCGCCCTCGCCGGTGAATTGGCCTCGCGCAGCAACGCAGCGAAGCACAGCCACCGCACGGTGCAGGTCTCGTCCTTTGGCTGCGCCGGCAGCTCGAAGCCGCGCTCTTGCGCCCACAAGCGGATGCCGTCCGCCGCGAGCGAGGCGTGGAAGAGCAGCGAGACGGCCGCGACGCGAGCGATGTCGGCGGGGTCGCAGTGAGAGAGGGCGCGCACGAGGAGCTCTCTGGGGAGGTCGAGGAGGCGGGCGGGCGGCGGCGTGTCTGGCGAGGGCGCGGCGGTGGCGGCGGAGGCGAGGCGGCGCGAGCGGCGCGAGCGGCGCGGCGGGGTGGACATCGCGAGAAAAAGAATTCACGCGCCCCCTGGCTTCCTCGCAAGGCTAGCACCACACTCCTCTCCTTAAAATCCCTGTGTGATCCCTGTGTGGTGTGTGGACGTGGTGGAGAGAGACTACCCGCCCTCCTCCGCCGCCGCCGCCCCGTGCTCCCTGAGCCACTCCCGCGAGCGCAAGTCCGCCTGCCTCACGCGGCGTCGGGTCGAGACGCCGCCGCCTCCGCTGCGCGACGCCGAGGCTCAGTCAGCCGGGCTGACGCGGGGCGGCGTGGGGCTGACGCTCAGTCAGCCGGGCGCGGTGCCAGATGCGCGCGTCATGTCCTCCTCTCAGCGGCTCTCTATGAGCGCTGGGCCGCGTCCGCCGCCTTCCTTGCAGCGGCCGCCTTGGCCCTCGCAGCGGCCGCGCGCCTCGCCTTTGCGGCGGCCATCGCCGCCTCAGCTGCCGCCGTGGCCGCCTCAGCTGCCGCAAGTGCCGCGGCCGCGGCTTCCTCCTCGGCCGCGGCTTCCTCCTCCTCCGCCTCTGCCTCCTCCTCCTCTTCCTCCGCCTCCTCGGCCAAACGCTCCGCCTCGACCATCTCAGCTAAAGCCGCTGCCTGGCTCTCCGCCGTGATGCCGAGCCGGATCCTCTCCTCGTGACAACTTTCGAGAAGCCTGATCAATCTCTCCTCCTCGGCCTTCTTCGCGGCCTCGGCTGCGGCTGCCTCCGACAGCACCTCGGCACCCTCTGATGGCGCCTCTGCACCCTCCACCGGCGCCTCGGGCTCCTGCGACGGCCCAGCGCCGCCGCTCCCGCCGCCCTTCTTCTTCTTCTTCTTCTTCTTGCCCTTGCCGCGCTTCTCCGCCTCCTCCTCCGCCAGCAGCTCCTCGGCATGCCGCGCCGCCTCCGCCTCCGCCGCCGCCCTCTCCGCCGCCCTCTCCGCCGCCCCCGCAGCCCACGCCGCCTCCTTCGCTGCCTTCTCGGCCGCCGCCTCGGCCACCGCCTTGGCCGCCGCGTGCTCCTCGAAGGCGCGAACGCACTTGGCGCTGCCTTGCTCCTTGGCAACCTGCAGCGCTGTGCGTCCAGCCGCCGAGCGCAGTACCGTGTCGGCGCCCGCCCGCAGCAAGCAGTGGAGAGCGGCGGGGCGGTTCTGGTGGGCGGCGAACATCAGCGCGGTGAGGCCGTCTTTGTCCTGCTGGTTGATCTCCGCGCCATGCTGCAGCAGCAGCTCGACCACCCACTCGTGGCCCATGCCGGCGGCCCACATCAGCACGGTGCTGCCGACGCTGTTCTGAAGGTTGATCGAAGCGCCACGCTGCAGCAGCGCCGCGGCCAGCTGCTCGTGGCCGTAGAAGGTGGCGTACATCAGTAGCGTAAAGCCGCTCACACCCTCACGAGTGAAAGTCGCGTCCACCCGCCCGCCGCCGTCGAGCCACGCCAGCACTGCCTCGTCGCCTTGCTTAGCCGCCTCCACGACCTCCTCGGGGACGGCGTCCTCGCCCGTTCCGCTCTCCACGCCGCCAGAAGAGGACGCGGCAGTTGGTGCCGCCGCCGCCCCCTTGCCCGAGGCGGCATCGCCGTCCGCCCCTGCGCCGCCCGCCTCGCCGATCTCCTCGGGAACAGGCCCGCTGCTGCCGCCCTCGCCGCCCGAAGCGCTGCCTGCCCCCGCGCCGCCCGCCTCGACCGCCGCCGCGTCGCGCCTCTCCGCCGCCAACTCGCCGAGAAATGTCTTGACGGCGGCGAAGCACTCGGTGTGACCCTTCTCTTTGGCAAGCTGCAGCGCCGTCATGCCCGACGCAGTGCGCAGCGTCATGTCTGCGCCCGCCCGCAGCAACTGGAGCACGACGGCAGGGCGGCCGTGAAAGGCGGCGCTCACGAGCGCGGTGCAGCCGCTGCTTTCCTGCAGGTCGACCTCTGCGCCGTGCCGCAGCAGCGTCTCGACCACTTGCTCGCGGCCTTGGTAAGCAGCGAACATCAGCGCGGTGCTGCTGCTGCTGTCCTGAAGGTTGATCTCCGCCCCGTGCCGCAGCAGCTTCTCGACCACCTGCACGTGGCCGTGGTGGGCGGCAGCCATCAGCGCCGTAGCGCCGTTGCTGTTTTGCGCGTTCACCTTCGCGCCCCGCTTCAGCAGAACGTCGACCAGCTGCTTGTGACCGTGTCCGGCGGCGATCAGCAGGAGCGTACAGCCACTCGCACCGCGCTCGCACGTTGCGTCAACCCTCCCGTCCCCGGCGAGCCACGTCTCCACCACGCCCGCCTTGCCGGCTGCCGCCGCTGTCTCGATCTTTTTCGGCAGCGCGAGCGGCGCAGCCTGTGGCGTCGTTGAAGCGCGTCCGCGCCGGGAGGCGGCCGAGCCAGATTTTGGTCGGCCAGGCATCGGTGCGAGAGAGAGCACTTCTGGGAGGCGCGTGGAATGAAGAAATTCGTGTGCTGGCAGTGGAGAGAGAGCGAGAGAGAGATTCTCTCCTCTTGGTGACGGGCGTGTTGACGAGGGACAGAGATTTTTGAAACCAAGCTTTCAGCAATTTCTCACTCACTGAAAAAAGAAACACGACCTGCCGAACTCCGCGTGAGTCGGCCGACGCAGAGAGCGAAGTAAGGCGAGCGCGAGACGCCTTTGAACCCTTTACCGTCTGCCGCCCACGCCCGCCCGTAGTCACCGCCCCCACCTCACACCGCCCCCCCGCCCGCCCGCAGAGCAACCACACGAGCAATCATGGGTGACGAGCAGCTGACCGAGGAGCAGATTGCCGAGTTCAAGGAGGCCTTCTCGCTGTTCGACAAGGACGGCGACGGCACCATCACCACCAAGGAGCTGGGCACCGTGATGCGCTCGCTCGGCCAGAACCCGACCGAGGCGGAGCTGCAGGACATGATCAACGAGGTGGACGCCGACGGCAACGGCACGATCGACTTCCCCGAGTTCTGCACGCTGATGGCGCGCAAGATGAAGGACACCGACTCGGAGGAGGAGCTCAAGGAGGCGTTCCGCGTGTTCGACAAGGACGGCAACGGCTTCATCTCCGCCGCCGAGCTGCGCCACATCATGACCAACCTCGGCGAGAAGCTGACCGACGAGGAGGTGGACGAGATGCTGCGCGAGGCCGACATCGACGGCGACGGCCAGATCAACTACGAGGAGTTTGTCAAGGTCATGATGGCCAAGTAGGCTCCTCCTCGGGTCTCTCGCCGGCAGCAGCGGGCGCGCGCAGTGCGCGGCGCGCCCAGACATCAAGTCGAGTATGGGTTCCGTGTGAGGGCGGGGTAGGTGCGCGCGTGCGCGTCTTGAGTTTAGCCTCGGACCGTGTCGCGGACCGCGGACGCTTTTCTTCTACGTACAGGGATTTCCAAAACCGAGAGCATCCCAGTGGCGCGATCATCACACTCCCTCCTCCCTCCACATGCGCAGACTCCACTTTTCGTTGCCCGGTGGGGCCCCCGACGCCCGAGCGCGAGCCCCGTGGCCGTGCCCTCCACGGTCTGTGAGATTAAAGAGGCGTGTGACAGGTGCCGAGCGCGCTGTATGTGTATCTTCTCTCCCGGGTGCTCTCGGCTTCTCGGCGCGCGCGGGGCCAGGGGGCGCCGGCGCGCGCCGGGCCCCGCGGCCGCAGCGGCCGGCCGGCAGCGCGCTCGAGCGCGCGCACACCGCGGTCCGCGCCACACGATATCTCGGAGCGCCTTGTCTCTACCTCCGCCGCCCACCGCCCGCTGCCCGCTGCACCGCTGGGCGCTCGCGCGAGCCGAGCGAGTTGCCGGCCTCACTTTGCGCTGGAGAGCATCTCCTCGAGCTCGGAGAGGTCCTTCTCTCCGGGGAAGAGCTGGCCGCCGACCTTGGGGGGGGGGGGGGGGGTGCGGGGGAGGGCTCCGGCGGCGAAGGGGAGGGCGAGGGGGAGGGTGGCGAGTGAGGGTGGCGGCAGAGAGCGGCAGGGAGCAAGCCGAGAGAGGCGGGGTCGAAGCAAAGTGTGAGAGAGAGGCCACAGCACGGGGGGGAGGGGGGGTTGGGGCGGCGGGTTCGGGTCACCTCCCAGGTGGGGTACCCCTTGACCCCGGCAGCGACGCAGCGCTCGTTCTCGGCGCCGGCGCCGTCGGGCGAGCACTCGACGTAAAAGCCGCCCTCGCCCATCGCCTCTGCGCCGAGTGTCTCCTTTTGGCCTGCGGCGGAGCGGTGTCGGGGGCGGTCGGGATGGTGTCGGGGGCGGCGTCGGGGACGTGCCGAGGACGCGTCGCGGGCGTATCGGGGATGTCGTGGGCGTTTGGGGAGGGAGAGGGAGAGAGAGAGAGGGAGAGAGAGAGACAGAGGGAGAGAGAGAGAGAGAGAGAGTGAGTGAGGGAGAGAGAGACAGAGAGAGAGAGAGAGAGAGAGAGTGAGTGAGAGAGAGAGACAGAGGAGAGAGAGAGACAGAGGGAGAGGGAGAGAGAGAGCGAGCGAGCGAGCGAGAGCGAGAGGAACGAGACGGGAGCGAGGAGCGAGGGACGAGAGAGCGGAGAGCGAGAGCGAAGGCGTCCTCGCCGCACCGGCGCAGTGCGAGCACCACCAGGCGCCGTACATCTTTGCGCCTCGCGCCGCCAGCCTCTCCGACAACTCGAGCGCGCGGCGGCTGGAGTGGGAGGCGATGGGGGCGGGCGACCGCTCGCCGAACGGCGCCATCTCCTACAGCCGAGAGACGCCGCCGAGGTGCCGCCGAGGTGCCGCCGGGAGTGCCACTCTCCTCGCCGCCGCTTGCTCCTCCTCCGGGGTGGGGAGGCTGCCCTGCGCGCTAAAGATGGCGGCGGCGGCGGCGGCGGCGAGGGCGGCGCCGCACCCGGCCAAGACCGCATCCTCGTCCGTCCGTCTCGTCGACGGCAGCCGCCACGCGAGAGCGAGCACCGCGGCGGACAGCCCCGCCGAGAGCAGGCACAGTCCGCACGCGGCCTGCAGCTGCAGCAGCCGGACGAGCAGCGCCAGCTCAAAGGCGGCCATCCCGCCGCCGAGCGCGAGGAGCAGGTCGGCGCCGCAGAGCGCCGCGCCGTCGCCCGCCGCGCCGCGCGCCTCGCCGCCTCGCGAGAGGGGCGCGAGCGCGAGCGCCGCGACGCCTCCGTAGGCTGCTAGCCCGAGGCTGGCGAGAGGCAGCGGGCCGACGCTGGCCCACGGCCCGGAGAGCACGTCGGCGCATCCTCCGCCCACCGACGAGCACATCGCGCCGAGCGCGCCGCCACCCCACAGCTTGTCGGCCGTGATGGCGCCCGTCTCTGCACAGCCGACGGCGGCGACGGCGGCGAGCGAGACGCGCGCGCTGCGCTCTGCGTCGGAAGCGGCGGCGTCCGGGCTGTCAGCAGTCATCCGCGCCGCTCCGGGCGGCGGCACGTGACGCTGCTGCGGCAGATGAGGCGCTATCAGCGAGGAGCTGAGCGCGGAGAGCGGCAACATGCAGGTGATTTGGTTTTTGTTATAAAAAAGAAATCTTGCTGCCGACTAACTCGGTGCAAAGCCTAAGAAGGTTGCAGCGAGAAGCGGCGAGAGACTGCGAGAAGAGATACGAAGAGGCAGACTCCCCAGGGTGGGCGACGGCTAGCGCATCACACTCCTCTCCTTGAAATCCCTGTGTGGTGGCGGCGTGCCGTTCTCCCATCCCTCCCTTGGGTTGTCTGTTTTCTTTCTTTCTTTTGCAAAGCCTAACCTAACTCAAGCTACCTTATAGGGGGGGGGGCTACTCTGTGAATACGTATTCCACGTATTCCAAATGTGTCGTGGGGATTGGAGTGGTCTGACCAGCAAGGAGACGCTGCTGCTGCGGCCGCTCATTCCGCGATTGCACCGGCCGGCCTCTGCATCGTATGTGAGGGTGCCGCGCGGCTGGCGGTGGGGGGGGGGGGGGGGGGGAAGCCAAAAAGGTGGCGGTGGCCAAGGCGGAAGGGAAGGTGGCGGAAGGGGAAAAAAAAGCGGCGGCGGAAAAAAAGGTCCCCAGGAAACCAGCTCTCAAAAATCTTCCCCGAAGGTCTCCCCAAGCCTCTCTCAAAAAACAATGGGAAGAAAGGGGGGCGGAATGGGGCGGAAGTGTCCTGTTGTCAAGGTCCGCTCCGAACGGGACTCGGAAAAAAAAAAAACCCCCCAAAAAAAAAAAAAATCGGGGGCTCCCAAAGGGCTCGTTGGTTCAAAACGACCCCAAAGAACAAGCTCGGGCCTTAACCATGGGGCTCGAAAAAAACTACCTCGGCGGGACAAAGGGGAAAAAAGGGACGGACCCCACGTCCTTGGTAAACATCGGCCCCGCCGGGGGGGTCCCT